TAGAAAAATAGACTTGTCTTGTTTTTTTCTGACCAGATATAATTTTTATTGTTCTTCACTAATCCTCCTTTTCAATATGTTTTTTAAAGTCAAGGGACCAGGACCAAGACAAATAACTGGCTGTGTTTTCCAACAGTACAATGGCACTTTAGCTCTTTTAGCCACAGCATTCAGCTGGGAACATGGTCCTCCACTGTGACCTCTGAATTCCTTTCTGGACCTCTGATTCCCAGGATGCAAACTCGTATTTCATTAGTGTGACTTGGCTTTTTGCTCATGAATATCTGCCCCTAGGTACATTAAAATGGGTTTTGCCGGATCCCAGCTTGTTTAGTCATCTGAGTAATTCTTTAAAGGTAATTTTCCCTGTTTGTAGCTGACTACCAATCTTGGTAAAGCTTACCCTTTACTTTCCAAATCTAATTGCAAGTTAGTTGCATTCATTCACAGATGTTAATCAGTTGTGGCCATTTGCAGAGGCTGCTATGTGTATTTTAAGGAGATATTTAAAATACCTATAGTAATGATGGTAACATTCTTTGCAGATGGAAAGGAGTACCAGAAAACCAATAAAATAATATGGTTTGTCGTGATGCTCCTGGCTATTACTAGTATTGATGTCAGAAAGGGAAAAAGTACAAGATCTGCTGGAGCTTTCAGTGTTTTAGCTGAGTAGTTGTAAAAAGCAATGATGTGGTAATAGGAATGCTTTTTTGTATCTTTGATTATCTCTTCATTATACTGGTGCTTCAGAATGCTACTGTAATATAAGATGATCAAGCTCATTTTTGTGAACAACCAAGAGAATGAAATTTGTTTGCTCAAAATGTTAGTCAATCTTTTTTGATGTTAAACATGCCTGGTTTAAAAAGGAGTGGGAAAAAAAGCATCTGTTCATGGGTGCTTTTTCTCTGGTAAGTTGTGTATCTTTATGTATCAGGAGCTGAAAAGCAGTGGTGCACTCTTAATTGAATGCTCTGTTTAGTCCCTTGTGAGAATCAGTGCTTTGTTTGTGCCAGAGACAAATCTCATTTATTTTGTTAGTGTGAAAACACTGTAGGGAGCTTACTGCAACTTTTAAGTCACAGAAATGTCTTTTGTCTTGCACTCTTTACTGACATATGATCACTGAATTAAATCAAAGCACTTTTTATAGTGGATGATGGCTTTACATTTGTATATGAATTGTAGCCTGCAATGCTTGAGCTTTGAATGTTAGTTTTGTCTTTCTCTCTTGCATCATAACATTGAGCCTTCACAATAAGGGGCATTGACATGGTATTAAAAAGAAATAATTACAGAATATATTCCATTTCATGTAGTATAGGCTGAAATTACTTTGCAGTCCTGCCCTACTTTTCAGATGGCCCTTCACTCCTTATATTACTCATTGTTTCCTTCCAACCTCCCTACCACCTCAGTAATTAATAATAGATTTCCAGAAATTTTTTTTCCAGGAAATTTTCATTTTTTAAGATTGGATTGACATGAATAGGTAGCACCTGGTCAAATCTGAAAATAAAATGCCACAATTTTCCAACAGATGTTCATTGCACCAAGGGTGACTGTTCTGAGTTGGTGCTTTGAGTAAAGTCAGCATGTCAGGAACAGATTTGGAGTTGGTTTGTCTTTACTAAGTGAGGTTATTCTGCTTGAGCTGATAGTGGATTCTCTGAAAGTAACCAAGGTCTTGGACAGGACCATCATGACCAGTGTTAGCACTGATAAATACCACAGATTTAAAAGGAATCACTCTGAATTCTTGCTTGCTTTTGCTACTTTTCTTGCAAATTTTTTCAGACTTTTTTACAAACTGTGTCTATATATGATAACTTTGTTGGCTTACCTCAAAGGTGAGTGATGTAAGCCTTGGCAGTTAATTGTCACATGGGGAGAAGACAGTGACTGTTGAGCCTCCACTCTTTGTTATAAGGGTGCAGAGCACCTACGAGATTTCTTTGTTTATTTTTAGCCAAATCCACTTCAACTGTTGTGTTACTTCTGTTAAAGGCTGTTTTGGAAAGGGGTTTTAAAGAGGCCAGGAAATACTCAGCAGTTTTACACATACAGAGATTTTGTCCCTGGAAAACTCCACTTGTAGTAACCGTTTTGAGGCTCAGCATTAGCACAGCTGTGCCTAGTAGGTAGGGCTGTTCCTTTTCACCCACTTGTCAAAAGCTGGGGTCTTGTGTGAGTGGGAGACAGAGTTGCAAAGCTCTCACTTTGGCCTTGTTCCTATGACAGGGGATTGCCTTGATTTTCAAACACAAAACTGAAATTCTGTCTTTTGAGGTAAATGCAAGAGTTCTGTGCATTGATATCAGAAGGGGTTTCAATTCCTGCATTTGGGGAAGAAAGACATTTTGGAAGTGAGGCAGCTGTATTGTACTTAAAGAGTGTTTAATTTACAAGAGGGAAGATTCATTGAAAGAGCAGGACGATGAGTAGTGAGATTCTTCTTACATGCTGAAAATGGTTAAAATACTGATCTGATGATGATGACTATGTATTTAGGATCAAACAGATGCTTTCAATTTTTCCAGGGCACAGGAAAACCCTTAAAGAAGCAAACTTTTCTCATAAGCAGATACTTTCATATTCCTATTTAAAGGTCTGGGATTCCTGATCCTGACACAGTGTTCTCAGTGTTGGCCTGCTGAGTACAGAGTTTAGTATGGCTCTCAGGAGGATGCTGAAATTAGTCCAAGACCTGAAAAAGCTCCCTTTACTCTTGTTTGATGTAACAGGTAATGGTCCTGGTTGTTGACTTGTCATTTATACTTGCTGCATATAACTTCTAATATCCTTTTTTTATGCTCCATTACACACAGTTTATCAGGGGTTAACTTGAAATTCCTTAGTTACAACCAGTTCTATTCAGCTTTTTATGAGTTTGTTTCATGGCTGAAATGTGCCCTGCTTGGTCTTCAGGCAAAGTTCAAGTTGAGGGACTGTTTTGAGTTGGACATTTGTTTTTGGTTCTTTCTGCAGAAGTTGTCTTCAAATACTCTTAAAAACAGAGTGGAAAAATACTTTTGTACCCTTAAAGCTGACTGTGGTGATATTTATAGATCTCTAGTCTAAAATATCTGTGAAAACATTTGACCAAAGCACATCTGTGGTAATGTCCAGAGAGCGGAACCTGGTTTGTGGAAAAAGTGACCCATAGAAAAACAGGCTGCTGAATAATATAAAGGGAATTTCATGCTGGATCACCATGTAAAGGATGGTGTGTGAGCCCGTGTGTAACTCAATTGCCTGTATATTCATTCTGTGCATGTAGCCAGAGCTGCTGTGATCTCAGCCTTCCCAAGAGCCAGAGGTGCACAGCAGAGCCGTCCTCCAGCGCCCAGCCTGGAACGTGGGCAGAGAGAATTAATTCACACCGACACCATGAAGTTCCTCTAGTAGTGCATTTGTCTATTTCTTGAGGCAGTTGTGGAAAGAGAGAGTGGTTTTTTGTTGAACTTGCTCTCCATGCAGGCCACAGGGGCTTGGTCTTGTCTTTCTTGGCAGTGACTGTTGAACCTTTATTCTATCTTAGTAAATGCATGGAACATTTAACATATTTAACTGCCGAAGTTTTGTTGTTTGTTTGTTTTTCTCAAATGCTGAAATACACCACTGTCTGTAGAGTCGTGTGCCCTATTTTAAGGGCAGAGTATGTTTTGGGGATTTTTTACACATTAAGACAAAATCCCTGTATTGCTCAGTCAGCATCTATGCGGTGCTCAATGTCTTTTCCATTAGACACTCAGCCTTCTGTTGCAGGTAAAGGGTTTTTTTGGAGGCAAATTTAGCTCAAAAAATCTGGCATTGTCTATAATCTGTAGTGTTTTGTGTGAGAAGAACTTCCTGTGTAATTTTGTGGAATTTAAGAAACCCCACTTAACATATGAAGAGTTATATGCAGTATACCATGTGGTGTTTGCCAAGTTTATGTCAAATTGAAAAATTATTTTCTGTTACAATAATTGCTGGATGGTGTCAAACTCTAGATCCATTTATACCAAAACTATCCCAACAATAAGCCTCCAGTGATGGCCAACAAATGCTAGACGTTTTAAAGAGGTACAAAAAAGTTCATCTCATACTCTTGCCTTTTCTCTCCACCCATATTAGTCCCATTTCCTATGTGAAATTAGAAATTTTTCTCAGAAACTGGACTTATATTACTCCTTCTGTAGAGCTTTATTAATTGCAACAACTCTAAATATTGTTTTATCCGCATGGGCAAAGGAATAATGTCTAATGTATGTTTGTCAAGGTCAGATCAATCTAATTTCCTTTAATGACAGGCTAACAGGCTTTGTGAATGGAGAAGCAGTAGATGTCATTTATCTTTAGTAAAGCTTTCAGTGCTCCCTCATGAGACTTTTTCCTGTGAAACATCTGCTCATAGGGTGGGTATTTGGCAGTTTGGTAGCATTCAGCATTTGCAGTAATGATCTCTCTGATGGAATAGAGAACATGCTTATTAAATTTGCAGGCAACAACAAGCTGGGAAGAGAGGCAAGCATGTTGGAGGACACCATTAGAATTCAAAATGATCTTTACAAATTGGCGAAACTGTCTGAGAGGATGCATGTCAATAAGGAAAAATGTGGATAGATGTTTGAAAATAGGAGTAATCAGCTACATAAATACAGAATGAGAGACAACTGCCTAGACAGCTGGTATACAGAAAAGGTCTTGCAGTGCTAATGGACCATAAACCATACAGGAGTCGACAAAGCAGTGCTCTTTTGAGGGGGTTAGATATCACAGTGACAGGCAAAAATGAGGAGTACCATCCTGAAGGCACATTTAATAGTCTTTCTGCTCTGCTCACATGGGTGAGGGCTCTGGTGAAACATCTCATCTTGAGCATCCTGCTGCCAGAATGGAAGGATTAACTGGGGGATGCCAGTCCTTCCCATCCACTGCTAGGAGAAATAATGTGCCTGAACTGCAGTTGGGAAGTTCAGGTCAGGCACTAAGCAACACTCACAGACATGCAGGATTGTTGGGTGTGGAATTGAATTTCCTGAGGAATTTCTGGAATTTCGTATGCAAACAGAAAGTGTTCCCTCAGATATGTTCTGAATAGGCAGTGTGATTTTTATTTTTTTTAAATGAATGTTTCTTTGTCCTCGTTTATGAATCAGGAAAGGTACAGTCTCATAGCATGTCTTCTCTAGATCAGCTAGTAACTCTTGTATTTTTATCTTGTCCTTTTTTATCCTCCTCTCAAGTGACAATCACTGTCTTTCCTCTGACTATGGAGCTTTGTGTGAAAGTGTTTTCCAGGCCCTTAGTCCTCTTCAGTGCTGTTCTCTGAGTTTATAGCTGTGCTCTAAAGGTGCTGGTGGGTGAAAACAGGGGAGAATGAGACTTGCAAACATCCCCAAGTTTTCTCATGAACCCTTGTAGATTTGCTGTCTTTTTGCCCATGTCTGTGCATGACTAAAGGTCAGCTGCCCGTTCCAGTGTGTGGTTCATCTTCTGAAGTCATACAGTTAGCTCTGCAGATTGTAGCAGCTAATTCTGTGATTTGTTTTTATCTCAATACATGTTATGTGTTTATCTGTAGGTAGTGGCTGCCTGGAGACTTTACCATGCTATACATCTGTTCGTTGGCCAGTGTGTGAGCTTTGATGGTTGCAGGGGCTTTGCTTGCCAAGGCAGGGCTCTGGTGTGTATCTGGTGGCTGCTGCCGTGGTGTGCAGGAGCCCATCTCTCTGACAGCACCAAACATGTGTGCTGTTCTGCATGACTGTCACATATTGCTGAGAAAGGCAGCATGGTTGTGCCAGCCCCTATAACACAGCACCCAGAGCAGGTCAGAGGGTCTGCATGTGGACCACTCCAGGCAAACAATGCCGCTTTGCTGTCCCGAGCAGCACTGACCAGCAGCTCTTGGGAGGCATTTGAAACAGCTTCTGGCAACACAAAATGCTTTGAGAAACAATTTCAAAGAATGCTGTAGGTCTTGCAAGACCTGCTGATTAAAATATGTTTAAATGCTTATTTACGTGTATGAAAGGGAAAATGTATTAAAAGCATCTATTTGTATAGAAGGCTTTTAATGTTAATGGTAGGGGAAGGGAAGATGGGTAAGGTTTTTTACCTTCTCCCTCCTGTAGTCATTCTTGCTATGAATAGCTATACATCAGCTCATGAATTTCTGTCTGAGTGAGGTCCCAGGGCTGTATGAGATGGGAGTATCTCATTCTTCATGTTAAAAGATTACGGTTAATTTATTGCATGTTTGTTGTGGATAAGAAAAAGCTATTTACCCACCTAGACTTTTCCTTTCCTGCGTTTCATAGAAGACCTATGCACTTCTTGCTGAAGAAGTACAGATCAGAAGAGATTTGTCTTTTTAATGAATTGATTTAAATCAAATGCAGGCCATTACATGAGTTCCTGAATTCTGGAAACTCTAGCCATTATGTTGGGTGTTTCTTTGCCATCAGACTTTGACTTCAAACTGCAATTATTTTTCACAAGATGAAGAATGAAGTCTGTTGCCTGTTATGAATAATAGAGTATGGTAATATCACAGCTATATATGCAAACTCTGCAGACTGGCGGCACAGCTGCTAAACGTTACGTTTTTAAAATATGTGCAATCTGTTGTCAACAGAATTAAAACCAGGAACATTACATGGTTTGTTTTGTAGGGAAATTTAGTGATGAATTGTTCTACATTTTGACCTTTAAAATTTTTTTGAGTGTCTGAATCTTCTAGTGAATTGGGGAGATTCTCAAATTAAGACGTGTGGAATTCTGATGGCTACCCTGACATTTCCTAGGCCTGGCTGGATACCTGGCCTTGATTAGTTTTCTAATGTACCTGCACTGCCGAGCTGGAGAGGCTCACACACTGCACAGCTGTGCTTGAAGTGATTGTACCGTAAACCTCATCCAATTAAAAGGTGAATCCTGTTCTGGTAGTGGAAAGTTGTTTTACTGTTCCTCTCCCCTGATATGGATGCGAGTGGAAGTGTTGAAGGGAAGTGTTATCGCTGTTGCTTTTGTAGCTAGCTGTTATCTTCCATCTTCATATACAAAAAAGTGAGAAATGCAGCCTGCCCAGCTGTCTGAGAGCGAGTGTGACTCGGCAAGATAAACCTTCACTGGCTGTAATGGGCCTGACTACAGATGATCATCCAGCTCTTCACTACCATCTGGTAGTGTCCTGGTTTGAACCACATGCAGCAGGAGAAATAAGGTGGAAATACAGCAAAGAACAGCAGTCGATCTTTTGGTGCTGAGAAGGGAATAATGCACACTCAGGACACGTTCTGCTCTCCTCTTTCTGATTATGGAGTGGGAGAGTAAGAGGGAACAACCTTAGGAATGTGAGAAAGGAGTAAATGGGAAGAATATAGAACGTTTAGGTTTTCTGTCCCTCTTCAAAATAGTCTTTGAAGTCCTGCTGCTTGGGAAAGGATGCAGACAAGCACTCCCAAAATGCCAGTTCCAGGGCAAGGGAGCCTGGCACTGCTGAGCAGCTCCTTGAGTGTTTCTGTGCTCCATTCCTCTCACCTGCAGGAAGAAATGCCAGCATTAGCAGATCTCTGATTGTGTCTGTGCTGGCAGAGGGTCCCAGAACTGATTTACAGCACTTGTTCAGCTTTCAGCGAGCAGCAAATGCATTGCTTAATTATTCATGGCAGATGTATTATTGCAGGAAATTAAGACATCGAGGAAACAAGTAAAAACTATTACTGAATAGAGCTATAAACAAGGTAAGGTGGAAGGGAATGCAGTAGAAAAGCTCTCAGATGCTAAAAACCCCTCGTTCTCAGAAATGTTTCCCCCCTTCCAAAAATAACTGTTTGAATTCCCAGATATGCAAGATCGTTCATAGCACATAATTAAATATTCTATTAGCTTACAAGTTGGGTTTAATTTGCTACATTTATCATCTGAATGATCACATTTGTGAATGTGTGGAACCTTCTGTGGCTTCTTTCAGCATATCTACTTATGTAATGACACAGTTCTCTTTATGTCTCTGACTTCCCTGAAAAGATTTGACATTTCATTTGTGCTGGAAAATGTAGGTCAACCTTTGGCTTTCTGTGCCGAAGAAAGAGGTTTTGGGTTTGCGTTTTGTGTCCTGGATGTATTGCTGTGCCTGGAGTCATGGTGTTCAGTGCTGCTGCAGAGAGAGCAGCCCAAGGCCCTTCTGCTGGCTCCGGATTTCCATTGTTTGAAACCCCTCTGCAGGCAGGCACACGTTCATCCAGCTCTCTTTCAGATGCTGCTGTAGCTTTAATCAAAGATTTATTTGTGTGTGTCGGTGGCCTGTGCCATGAACCTGCTCTCTAACCTGTGTTGAATGCCCCACACTCACACAGAGGCCAGAGCTGTTGGTTTTGAGGAGCACCAGCAGTTTCTTGGTCATCAGGTGATGTAGGAGGAGCCTGGTGTTTGATTTCTCTCTGTATGCATAGAGGGAGTTTCTTATTATTGCTACTCCAAGTTCCCATTAGCTTTAAACTTTGCACATTTCATGACAATTTTTTAAATATGTAGTCAGTAACTGACCAAACTTCACTGAGAAGGAAGTAGTTTAAAGACAACCCTTTCAACTCCTCTTTCAAGATTAGAACTATTAGCTTTATTATAAAAGTTAGGGGGAGCATCTCTTAAGTTTTTGTGTAACCTCAGGCTTCCGAGAGTTTCCATTTCATTACTGTTAATAAGCTCATTATTTTGGTACATATGTAGTCATTTTGGAGCCCTTTACTTTATAATTTCAATTATGTCGTTTGAAATGGAATAATATTAGAAGTCCTGTTACGGAGAATTCAGAGCAATTTCAGGGCGAACAAATGAAATTTACTGATAAAATAGCCTTGTGTAGTTCATTCCTGTGATGGGAGATGTTTTAGTCCATTTGCAAACTTCGGCTATTTGGTGATTTCAGATAGAGATGATGGAAGGAAAATACTCTGTAACTTATCCTGTAGGGTTAATTTTCCTGACTCTTGAAAGCACGGTCTGTGTGCAGCACATATGTGACTATAACATTTCATACAAATTGGGCAAAAAAGAGGTCTTGCAGGAATCACACTAAACCATGAGCACTGAGGAACATGCTCCTAATTGTGTTTTGTGAATGCTTGCTGTTCTGTACACGTGCATCTCAGGATCGCCTAAACAGAGCTTTGCTTCCAGACCTAATCAATTGGTTCTCGAGCCGTTTAGCTTTTTAATTACTCTTGTCAAAGTGAAAATTATGTGAAAGGACTTCACTGTGCAATTAGCTGCTGAACATTTTCTGCAGCAATAGTGGGAAAACAATACCAAGTCCCAGAATAGCAGTAGATACAACCATAGGAACAAATCTGCTTCAGCAGAGAAAGAGATAGTCTGGTAACTAATCTGAATGAAAGATAATTTATTTTTTAAATATGCATATATTCACAGATGTGAGCAGAAAAGGCTGTTTGTGTGAGAAAAGCCTGTCCCCAGCAGAATACTGAGTTAGTTATCGTTTGCTGATTTCCCTCTGATTTGAGGGCCCTGCTCTGCAGGCACAGGTTGCAGCTCTGTCCTCAGCCATGACTGAGGATGTTGGAAGAAGTGCCAGCTCTTTGACCTCCAGACTGCTGGGGGCTGAATTTTAGAAAAAAAGGATTCACCTTTCCAGTGCTGCAGCCATGGGAGATCGTGCACAGTGTGTTTCTTCTGTGGACAGCAAGAGCCTGTTTGGTGTTCATTCAGTGATCTATAGATCATCTGCTCAGACAAATTATATCTCTCAACAGCTTCACACTAAACTAATCTGGGCATTCAAAAAATAAATAAATGAGGCAGTGTCTATAAAGAGCTTCCGTCTAGTGAAGTGGAGCAGTTGGAGCCTGATGAATGAATCCCATTTGAACACACTGGCTGTGTGTTCACTGCTCCCCTCTGCTGAGCTCTGTCACCCAGGACAGCCCTTGCTGGAACACACTGTGCATTGCCAGCAGCTCAGCCTGGGACCACGGGCCACCATGGTGAGGATGGGATTTGGACCACCTTGGCTGGTTCATGGCCCCAGTGCAGAAGCCAGAGCTTGCCCAGGATATCCCAACTGCTGCTGGTGCATCCCAGGAGCTGCATGACGCTCTCCTGGCTCTGCCATGTTCCTGACCAAAGTGCAGAGGCACATTTTGGGCAAGTGTCATTTGAGGAAGGATCCCTTCAGTGCTGCTGCCCCTCAGAAGTGTAACTCATTGGCCTTCACGAAGTTAAAACAGTGTTTTTACAAGTGAGATTGAAAACACAGGTTTGATTTTCTGGTTTCTAAATTGCTGAGCTGATGGAAGGGAGCTGAGTCACTGCGTGCTGACTGACTGAGCCCACACTCCTTCCCTGGGAGCAACGCAGGGAGGGCAGCTGAACAAATCCTGGTACTCGTCCTCCCGTGTTTGGAAATGCTTAATAGATTGGGAAGCTCAGAATTTTAATGCAGTTCTTTTCTGTATTGATAGAGGTCTTTGAAGTCACTTGAATGCTTTACTAAGCATACATATGAGAATTTAGGTTATTTGTATCAGTGCGCTTGATGGTTTCTGATCTTCATTAGGCTGTGTACCAGGTCAGTGTGCATGCGCACCTACACGCCTAAAATAATTTATTCTGCTGCCTTTTAGCACCTGCTTCAGGTGGAGGTGTTACTCGAAAAGGAAATTGTGTCTTCTGAATAGTGAATAACAAAATTTGTCTCAAGACACAGTGTGTTTTACAAGGATTCAATTTCCAGGACCATACACGGGTGGGATTTTTTGTTTTCCCGGGAGGTGGTGAGGGCAAAAGCAGCAGTAGCAAGACATCCATTCTTTGTGGAGGTTTGAAAGCAGGTGAAAGGGCTCAGAAACCAGAGGGATGCTTTTATTGGGTCTGAAATAGTCAGCACATCAACATCTGGTTTTGGATTATAGCTAGAGGCAGCAAAATACGAGTATAGAAAGTTATTTTTAATTATGTAGAATGCATTGTCTGGGTATGTGTGTAAGCTGGCTGCAGTGAAATCAAGGAAGCCAACACATTTTAAGCTTAATGGTATTTTGTGAACAATCTGAGAACAATAAGTATGTGATAGGAGCTCCTTTTTCTATGTAATACCTATTTAATTCAGTGCTTGAGACAGAAGGGTTTTGGCAGTAGATGGTCTGTGTGCAGGGAAGGACATAGGTGCTCTTAATTGCCAGTTTTTCTAGCTGAAAATCTGGAATGAGTGTGCTGGGACTCTGGGAGGGAAAAGTCTCATAGTTAAAGCAGTTTTTGATGTCTCAGAGGTTTGAATTTCAGAAGCCATGGACTTGTCTGTAATTGTCAAAGGGCAGTAAATTATTTTTAAAAATAGCAAAATGTAACCTAAATGCAGAAGATAGTGCTATTCCTCTTACACCATGCGAGTATTTACTAGCAGGACAAACCTACAGAAGGTTTTGGATTACAAAGAGTTCCAGATTGTCTCCAGTGCTTGCCACTGTATGAATGTTAGTGCTGAGGTGTGTATTGCAAGTCCCTTGGAAGAAGAGTGAAGGGCTGCTTAAAATTATGGAAAGTTTGAGACTAGGCTGTGAGCATCAAGTTTTTAAGCTGCAAAAAGGATAAGCAGGAGGGAAAAGACTACATTTGCTTCGGGAAACTTAAACATCGTTTCTCAACATGTTTGCAGATGGATCACCTTATAGGTGTGTGAGAAGGATTTGCATTTTAGAGCCCTGAGAAGTGCTTGAGAGTGTTTCACTTCCCTCCTCCCCCTTTGCTTCTTGTCATTTAACATTTTGGAAGTTCTTTGGGTAGTTACATTTTTGTCTCTGTAATAATTATCAAATTATAAATTATTTTTATAAGCAAATGCTCTTGACTGTGGATAAGCAATCTTCATAAATTATTTGGTGGGATACTTAATTTGAAGTTTCTTCATTGCTTATGACAAGATGTTTCTGCTGCTGTCACAGTTGATGATTCATAGCTCAAGTGAAGTGCTTAGCACTTCAGAAAAGTTGTAACACAGGCAGTCCTACTCAAAGTCTCTCCATTTAAAAAAAGAAAGAAAAAAAGAAGAAAAGAGAGCTGTGGTGGACTGTGCTGAAATGGTGTATGAGGCTGGTCTGCAGGACTGGCTCCAAAACATGAAGAAGGAGGCAGGGGCCATTCACTGATACTGAGTCAGAGAAGCTGAGGTAACATAGGTTCTTAAATCCTTTATTTTCTCCTAAGCACATGTGTGAACAGTCACGGGAGTTTGAGAGTCTGCTAATGTTTGTACATGTGTGGGAACAAGGTGCTCCCTGCAATCCCATATGATTTAGGGCATTCTGCTTGACCAGCTGGGCTCATAGCCCTGGATTGCATGTTCTTGCTTCAGCCATGGGGGTTCTAGGTAGGTGATTAGAAGAAAATGGAAAATTGAGAGGCTTTAGACTGGTTAGAGGAAAAAAGTGCAAGGTGGGGTATTGAAGTACTGGCACCATTTGGCTGTGGCTGATGCTGTGCTCAGTCTACATGGCTGTGTTGGAGCAAAAAGGAGCCCCTATTAAAATTTCACAGAGACAAACCTCAGACCTTTTAGGGGCTGGAGGAAGAGGTAGCTGGCTGCTGAAATTCTTGCTGTTTTTCCATTACTGATGCTTTCCTTGGGAGAAGCTTCAGTGAGGAAGTCTGACAGATGGCAACAAAAGGAAAGGTACAAACAAGGCACTCCTGCAGTATAAACGTTGGGCTTTAACTGTTTCACTGAAGTGTTTAAAATATGTGTAAGAATTTGGGCAGAACTACACAGACATGTTACAGCAGTTAGGTGAAATTTCAGGAAAAAAGCCGTGACAGTTGTTTTTTCCTCAGCCAAACTGAATTCCAAGGATGCCACTGGGAGCAGCTGCACGAACTGAATATTGATGGGCAGCTGGTGCAGGTCCTGCGCCCCCACCAACTTCCTTCATGTTTCAGGAAAACTCTCCTGATCTTATTTCAGCCATCATATTATAGGAGTGCATTTGCAGCTGTACAAGTTCAGTGAAAGGAAACAAAATAAAGAATGAGCCAGGAGAGTTTAAGGGAGCAAGGTGGAATCTGGCTGGTTTGGACAGGTGGTGTTCGGGGGCTCTGTATTGGCAACCAGTCGGGATTAGGACAAATTCACTCATTTCAAAAGATTATTCCAGGTTTTGGTAGGGTTTTAGCTCTTTGACTACTCTTGTTCTCATCGAGGGGGGAAGAGACTGGGGAATTGAAGGGTTTGTTGTTAGAACTGGATAAGGTAAATATAAGTGGAGGAAATTTTAGATAAATTGAGGAGTTCATAATGTGGACTGTTTATAGGCGTCTGTCTTTTAAATTGAAAGCATTGTTGTAGCTGTTGTGTGTTTGGAAGCACTTAAGGTTTGAGTGGACCATAAAAATGTGTGCAGATGTTCTTCCTTCTTGACTCTGAGCATTCAGGATATTCAAACCACTGCAGTGGCTTTCTTCAGAAACTGTTTTATGAGGGTTTCCACAGTATTTTAAAACCAAAGCAAGACTGTCATGCCGATGTTTAACCTTCACTAGGGACACGGTGTAAAAAAACACTCCAGTGTGTTTGTGTATGTATAAATTGCACCCTTTACACTGTAAAGAGAAAGCCTTTTTAGTCAAAAGCAAAAGTTGGTGAAGTGAAAAGGTGAGCTGCTGTCCCTACACATCACTGCCAGATCTCTGAGTGCTGGGTTTCTTACCCTGGCTTTGTGCTGCTGCTGTGCAAAGTGCGACTTTGAGCTGAACTTATGCTGGTTTTGACTGGGGATTTTTCTTTGGGAAGTCATTGAGGAACTATTGAACATGAACTCAATTTAGACCCTCCTAGGACCTTCTTTATTGCCTGTTGCACATTTGCCTGAAATGCTGACAGAGAAACTAATGCTCTTTTTTAATATTAAGGAACAATAACAGCTTATTTAACACTGAGTAAGAAAGAGGCTTTAGCAGCAATGTACTTCAGTGAAATAACGAAGATATTTCTGTGAGCTGCTCTACATCAAAGGTTTATGAAGCAGGATTTCTCTGCCACAATGTGACCTCTGCAGTGCTTCAAAGTGCTGGTTCTTTGCACATCAGCCAGCTCAATGTTTTTACTTTGACTAGTGGTGTTCCTGCTTAAACCACAGAAAAGGACTTTTATCTATGCACTTTCTGGGAAAACTTTTCCTTACGCATATGGCCTTTGAGAATCTAATGCCACAAATGTTTTTTCAGTTGCCATATGAGCATACTTGGCAGAGATAGAAGGAACTTGAATACAAGTGAGCTTCTTAGGGAAGAAATTCTTTTTTTTTTGGTGATTTCTGCAAAACTGAATGCATGTCCTTTCAGTGGTATTAATTTTTGCTCTTTTGGAGTTGTAGCGTGTGAACTTGAGTGGTTTTCATGTATTGCTGACGTTTTAGCACTCTTACTCATCAAGAAGCTCTGTTTCATTTTGAGCATGTGAGCTTTATTTCTGCACACTGTGTCATGAAAAGTGAGAGTAATTTATTGTCTCTGTAAATGGGAAGTGAGATGTAGATGAAAGTTCTCTTGAAACCCATAACAGCCAGCCTTTTATCAGTTGATGCTGACCAATATCAGCCATTTTCCCTACAGGAAATGAAAATGTTCCATCATTAGGCTGGGACCTAATCGGGTTTCCTTCACATTCCTTCCTCATCTCCCTATTTCCATCGTGTGTTCCTTTGCACTGGAGACTACTTGTGTGCCATATAACTTGGGTTTTGACATAACCTATAAACCTGTTTGTTTCCTGTGGATTTTTAAACACTGGTAACTTTCCAAAAAACCTGGTTCTACCCATCAGTCTCAGAAGCTGTTCCATTTTGGTTGGGATTCCCCTTGCAGAGGACAGCATGGTGGAGTACTCTTCTCCACATGCCCTTGGGAACTTGCCTCATTGCCCTTTGCCAGGCAGGGCTCAGGGCACATGCCCATGGTGCATTTACAACTCCTTGTATCAAACACAGATAAACCATTGGTAGCCCATCTGTTTTCTTCCTTGAAGAAAGTAAAGGAAAACCAGGACTGTCAGTTCAAGTGTTCTTTGTACAGACCCCTTTTCTTCTCGGAAAAGCCACAAAGAACCTCTGAAAGCAGATGTAGCTTAGGTGACACTGCTCCATCTGGATGTGCAGACAGCTTTGGATTCTGCTTCTCACTCTGCTTTTGGTTGGCTGGGAAGAGGAAGGACTTGGCAAAGATGCTGAGAGTGACACAAATTTCATTTGTCCTTCCAGACATGGGAATTAAAATGCCTCAGCATTTATGGAGGAAGGTAGTTAACAAGGCTAGTTACAGTTAGTCTCCTTACTTTTAGGTATGTTTTCAGCTACTGCTAATGAATTTAAGAAACAGATGAGTAATTTCTGCTTTAATTAAGAGTAATCTTGTGATTTGAAATATGTTATTTTTTGCAGTGGTTTTTTTCTGCTTTAAAAGCTGGTATGGAGAAAAAGCAGCTCAATAGTCCATTTAATGAAGTGTAAAAATTACCAGGTCATGCAATCTCTCCTTGTATTGTTCGACCATAACATAATATATATTCTGTCATTATTCCCACCCCATCCATTAGCCATCACAGTTCAGAAATAAACAAATTACCTGCTTCCTTCTCCATTAAATGCAATTTTATAAACTGCATTATAACAAAGCTAACTGAGCTATAAGTAGAGGAACAAAACCCTTAGTTTTCAATGTAAATGGCATAAATTTGGTTGTGCAGAGAGGATGTGTGGGAAGGTATTGTTGCTGTAAGGATATTAGATGAATAAATTTGAAAAAAAAATTAAAGAACTGTTTTGAAATTCAGTAGTTGCAATCAAGAAGTAATTTTTTTGAGGAGTCGAAATGGCAGTGCTTCTGATCGTAGAAATGCGTACTGAAAAATGAGTCAAAAAATCACAGTTTGCAGCCATTTGATACAAAATGTATGGGGGAACTTTTTCATGGTGAGAGTGGTTCTCAGTTGGAACAAAGAAAAAGAGAGGCTTGGGAATCTTCATTTGTGGAGATATTCAAAGCTTAGCAGGACAAAGTCCTGAGATATCTTTTTTTTTAAACTTTAAACACTACTTTAAAGTTACCGTTTCTCTAAACACTACTTTAAAGTTAGCATTTCTCTGAGCATGAGGTTAGAGTAGCTGACCTGCATATGTCCCTTCCGACTTAAATTATTCACTGCTTTGTGCAAGAGACTTAGACAGTTCATTTAAGAAATTTGGGACACAACTTTGTTGATGCTGTGAGCTTCTGTATGGATCTACTCAGAGTGCATTGCAGCAGGGTGAGGGGTGATGTATTTCCATGATACCTTGTTACCAGCTTCTGGGGACACTTGTGTGAAAAGAGCAGGTGAATTGGAAATGCAGAAATAAAGCTTTCTATCTGTGAAAGTAGTACTGAATAGAATGACCTTAAATTTTACCTTGGTTCAGATGTTGTCCTCTTTTCTGTCTGGGGAGAGGGGGAGATGCTTCTCTTCTTTCTCAGCTTTTTGACTGCATTTCTGTTTTATGGGTATGGTAGAAGCTAGGGCATAACATTATTCAGTACAGCATGGGGTGTGCTGTAAATGAGTTTGGATCTCTCCTTTCTGGGTTTTGAATTATTTATAGATCAGCCTCTGCATAATTGCATTTGAATACTAGCAACTAGTCATGTTTGCCATAAAAATAGAAAATGCATATTTTAGACTATTTCTTTAGAAGTGTTTTATCTTTTTTCTTTGGGTGTCTCTGTCATTCTGAACTTAGCTAGACCCCAACTCCTCCTCAGTCTGCACTGAAGTGATAGCTGCTTTCCAGAGTTAGCCTCCAGCACTGTTGAGATACCCATGGCCCTGAGCTGGCCCCAGAAGTGTTGTTTCTTGTCCCACATTCCAAAACCATTGTGAAATACTGTGTCCTGGTGCCCTCTTGGGCATCCTTGTCTTTGGTGATCTGGTGCTTTCTCCTGGCTGCTGGTGCCCGGTTTTGTGGCAATACAACGAAACTGACGCTGCTTCCAGTGGTGAGAGAGTCATGTGGCCCAGTATTTCTGCTCTCATTTGAGCCACCCTGAAATAGAGGTCTTTCTTTTTCATGCTGATCTGATTCTCTCAGCATACATGAATGTGTGTAAGAACTCAGTCTTGGAGAATCTTGGAGCAAATTTGGGAAAAAGGTGATCTGACATGATAACGAACAGCTCAAGTGAGCACTCTAGGGAAGGTTGAGGTTACCGTGGAGTGTTTGCTGATTAGGAAGGGAGGGAAGTGCTTTGCCACAGAGTGCCTGAAAAGCTTCAGACCTGCTTCTGTATATCCATAATGCCCGTTGTTGTGAAAGAACACTTCAGAGTGCTTGTGCTTCCATGGTGCTGAGCTGAGCCATTGTGCCACTTCTGTCCTCCTGACTGATCAGTTTTGTTTCTGTAATTGACAGGCAGTGATGAATGCAGTCCTTGAGCGAGTTGCTCTTGGTTTTCCTGTGTTTAAAAACGTCAAGTGGACATGTTAAATAATGCCCTTGCCTTCCCTTCTGCGGTTGGGAAAGTAGCAGCCACTGTATGGCAAGTGAGTTGGGTGACTTTTGGTCTTTCAGTAGCCCATTTCCTCTAAGGAAGGCATGAGAGCTTCTTTGCTAATTCTCTGCTATTATTGTATTTAAGTAAAAATACAGTTTTCATTTTTAAAATCCGTCTCCCCACCTCCAGCCCAAGTCCCTAACCCTGTGTGTGTTTTCTGTGTTGGGAAGGGGCTGGCTGTGGAGACTCTCCATCAGCCTGAAGCTCAGGTGTTTGCAGTGATTAAATGTGGGACCTGATTATCATTTCAGGGGCACAAGACAATCAACATTACACCTAATTACAAATGTGCTTGTTTAATCTCTTAACGTTACTTGTTTGACCTGTGTCATGCCTGATCCTTCGTACCCATGTAAATGGTGTTGAGGATTGGTGCCTCCTGCTCACTGTGCCTTGCTGCCCGAGTGTCTTGGCTGTGTGAATCCGAGTCAGTCCTCTCTTTTTCAGATTGAGGTTAAATCCATTTAAGGTAAACAGATTAACACATTTTCCCATGTCCAACGTGAGAGCAGCGAGTCTGTCATTTCCCTAAAAGCATTACATGCGACAGGTCCCAGATGCTGAGCTTTTCTGGGCAGCTGTGTTATTTGCTTGACTGGATGAGTTTTACAGCTGGTGTCCGGCTGTTCTTTGTTATGTTTATCTGCAGTCTCTGGGGCTAATCAGATTAACAGATAGCATAATCTTGCTAAATATCTGATTCCCTTCTGAGCCCCTGGGTGTCAGCTTTGCTGGTCCTTGCGGTTTCAGTGGGGGGCTGGTGGAGGTCGCTCAGAGGCGGCAGCTGCGTCTCACTGCTCCTGCACTTGAGCCATGGATGGGCTTGTTCTGGCAATTTCTGTTGCAGCTTTGTGCAGTCAGTGTGTGTGAAGATAAAGTCAGCTAAAAGGAATTAGCTTTGATGATAAGCCTGAGGATCTGTCCTTAGTCCATGTTTTTAAGTTTTTTACTGCAGGTTCTTTGACACAGGTTTCTGTTGCTCACTTGGGAGACAGAGGCTCTTGGATTTCCAGGAATGCTGCAGGCAGCTTGGGCTGTTTGGAAATGGCAGCTGGACTCCATTGGACTTGTCTCCCTGACTTCTCCAGCCTGGAGAGCCCTGGTGTGGGCTGCCAGCATTATTGGACATGGCTATAAAGATGTTGCAGAGTAGGACTGGAACAAGTCTGCTGGTGGGTTGTGATGGAGTTCAGTTCTAAGTGTGTTTGATGGAAAGAAGGAAATGAGTGGAGATGAGAGAAATATGAAATCCACTTGACACCTGCATTTAGAGAATTGGAGATGTTGGCATGTTTGACTCGTCTTCAACATGCCATGTACTGAAACCGAGCACAGCACTTCTCAGCCTAAAAAAAAATTGTTTTAGTGACTGTAAGAAGAATCAGTATGGCAACACCATGTATTTTTAAAACACATCCAACACATGCAGTGAGAGTATTTAGAATGTTATTCTTTTTATATAAAATACCTTGGATTTTTTCATTTTTGAAGAAGTGTGTCATGCTATTAATGTAGCTTAGAGCACTACACAGATTGAAATTCTGTTTTTTTAACAAAAGTTTTGGCTACCAGAGTCCAAAGTTACAAAAGCTCTGTCTGTACTGGTAAGTGGTTTTTAACTGGAAAGTTTTGCTGAATGTATCCTCCATTACCTACTTCTGCCCTCTATGCAATCAGGACACAGAGCCCTCACATTTGCTGCAGACTTGTCTGAAGTGGGAGGAAGCTCACCAGTGTTGATAATTCATGATAATGCTCAAGTAAACCCAGTGTGGATTGCTGAGTTGAGGAGCATTGCTATTAAACAGACTTTACCTGCTGTCATGTCCCTTTGAAATTATGTCAGCTTTGTTGGTGGTGGATGTGACTTAAATAATTTGTGGTCTTTTATGAGATCTTAGAGTTTGTTAGGCTTTTTTGATTGTATAGAGGACCTGAGCTGACTCTCAGCCCTTTGCTAAAGCCTCAGTGCTGTCCAGAGGGGAAGGAGGGCCCCTGTGCTGATGTCAGGCTCAATTTCTGTGAGTCCTGGGTACAGACTGATGCTGGTTCTCTTGGAGCAGCAGCAGCATCTTCTTGCCTGTCTGTGCTGACTCTTGCCAGGATAGAAGAAACTC